AATGATGAATATGCAAAAATGATATATATTTGTAAATTAACTTTTTATTTAACTCTCTGTTTTACCACAAAGTCATGCACCTTTCAAAAATGTAATGAGAATTCATTTTAATTATGTTTTTGTTTAAAGTCAGTCTGAACCCAGCAGAAACAAAATAAATGCATAACTAACTACCTATAACTAAAAAAATAAAAGGCTACAACATCTCTGCAACACGATAAGTGGTTTGGATAATTGAATAAATAAATAAATATATATGTAAATAAATATGTTCATAATAATGATCAGTTCCTGTAATTCTTAGAAAAATTCCTTAAGTTTCCTAACTAAAGTTAATGTTTTTTTTTTTAAAAGAAGCCCGTTTATGGAAGACCGTTTCCACCTCTGGAAAAAAAAAAGAAGGGAAATATTTTTTTTCGCCATTGTGAGTTTGTATCCCATAATTCTGACTTTATATCAAGCAATTCTGACTTCATTCTCAGCATACATTTTAAAATAGTATACACCTGATTGAGACAAAGAAAAGAATATCAAAATAATCCATGAGATTTCTTTATGATTTTGCAAAAAACAATTACTAATAAATAAACAAGCCCATTTGCAATGCTGTATGTTTGTTCTGTTGCTATGGAAAGTTGTGTGTGTGAGAGAGCAGTGTTTTCAGAAGGATTTGTGGGAGGGTCTGTGTGTGTACATCCCTCTTGGTTCTTGGCTCTGATGATAAGCCCCCTGCTTGCTTGAGTACCTTTCCAAACCCAGAGACCGAGGTGTTATGACTATGGATGACAAGCACAGGAGCTTTCCAGCCTGAGACAGAGGAGCAGGGAGACATAGATAATAAAGGGTAAAGAGATACAAAACACATGGGAAAGTGAAAGATGGTTGCAGTCGGAGAAAACAAAGATATAGAGCGATGAAGGAGTGGAAAGCTGGGAGAATAGCATTTTGTAGGAGAAAAAAATTTGGAGACAATGTCCACTGTCCTTATGTACTTATTTTCTTTTCTAGGAAACATGTAGACCTACGTATCTCCTGTAGCTTCTGAAGGGCAGTACTAAATGAAAAAATATATTTAAAGGTGAGGTAAGCGATTTCTGGTAGCCAATGTTAATATTTGAAATTACCAAAACAAACACACCCCTACCCCAAAAGGGTCTCGCCCCTATCTTGATAGCTCCGCCCCACACATACGTACGCAACCCAGGCAACAATTAGTTCTGTGAAACAAAGCAAACCAATGTTACACCATGTCTACACCGGACGTGAGTGGCGCGGCGTGACAAAATACTACGGAACTCATTATAATCAGTAATGCTGTCTACACCAGATATATATATATATATATACATATCTATGGTCTACACTGGATGCGGTGCGGCACGACACGACAAATCCCTGACAGAAAACTGCTGATGCGTTCTATTTATGATGTATTGACACAAATGATTTTCAACGGTCGCTTTGCCGTGTCCAGTGTACTAGACAGACTTTAGCTGTTGCGGCACAGACACGGTGTTCCTCACCTATCAAGAAGAAACAAAGCAACCTCGGCGTCCGATCGCAGGCCTTCCGCTCCTTGAGTTCTCTCCAGCACTGGAAAGCTGATCTGATATTTACACGGGTCCTACTTATTGCCTTAAGCCTTCTTTTGTTCTGCAGACATTTTCCTTTTTTGTTTTTTATCCGCCATCTCTGTCTTTCTGTCACTCGGCTCGCTAATGTCCGTTCGGTACACTGAACGTTCTCTCCTCCACATCATGAGTAGACACGCCCCTTACTGCTGATTGGCTACAAGTTTGCTATGCTAGTCGGCCCGAATCAGTTTTCTAAAGTGTTTTTGAAAAATGGTGACATATCATGAAAATCCGACTTTTCCTGTGTTTCGGTGCTATAATCTGGTCTCCGGTGCATGTACCGACCCAGAAAACATAAAAAAGAACAACCCATTAAATATTTTTTGGTAAGCCTTTCTCTGCAAGCTTGTGGAAAAAAATTAGCCGCTCAGATTTTTCTGTGCGAGTGCTTCAGATGTGTGCGCTCAGAAAACCATATATCAGAAGTTTAAGCGAATATGGATTCACTTGTCCACGCTTACATATAATTAGCTGAAGTATGGTAATGCATACGATTATTAATAGTCCAAGGCCAATGGTCATTTACACATTGTTCTTGAAAAATCTTATTCAAAAAGTTTTAAAAAGCCTTTATTTCATCATGGCTATCAGTTTTAAAAACAGATGACAAGTGCACACCTACGCGTTGCGGCTATTTTGCCTTCGTCAGGGTGTGAGTAACAAACACAATCTGAGTTTATTTTGAGCAGCAATTAATTAGTCTAATAACAATCATCTGGTCGTGCTACACAGGACAAACAGAAGAGAGGAAGTTCAACGATTACATGGCAAATTAAATCAAACACAGTATAATCATGGTGTAAAGAAAATATATTTTATTTATTTTTTTACATAAACTTAAGTATATAAATCAAACTCCACAAATCAATATATGTATACAATAATGTACATAGTATAAATTTTATTTCTTGAACACTATTCAACAATGTCATAAATATGATTATTTTGGGTATTTTGAGCTGAAGCCTCACAGACACATTCTGGGGACACCTGAGACTTATATTATATATTGTAAAAAGGGGCATAATAGGTCTCATTTAAACAAAACAAGAAACATGTACACATCTTCATCCTGACCAAAAGATCTTAATGCATTATGTTTCATTCTTGAGCATCAGCAAATGTTTGAACCTTTTGTAATAGTTGCGTATGATTCCTACAATTGTTGTCATTGTAAAAAGATGGATCTCAAAATCATAGTCACTGTTAGAAAGAATTCAAATATGCAAAAGATGCCGGAAAACCAAAGAATTAGCGGGGCCTGGAGGATTTTTCTGAAAAACAATGTGCTCATGAACAACGATCAGAGGAAGAAGAGAAAAAAACGGTAATGAAACAATATTAAGAATCACGCATATGTAAACTTTTTTATAAATTCAGCTATTATTTTGTCTTGCGGACTACATGTAAACATCTTTTATACATTTGTGAACAATAAGCAATTGTGAAGCAGCAGTCAGCCTGTCATTTGTCACTTACTGCCACTTTTTTCAACTGTATTTGCATTCTGTTTTCAATTACTGTACCGATCGCACACACAACCGCTCTTTATTACCTACGTTCCCTTCTCCTCCATGTTGTTTTTCCTTCGACCTTGAGTAGATTGAATTATCTTGCCCCTACAGTGCACATTCAAACAAACACAAAATCAATTTAAAAGCAGCTTATGGTGAACACTTCACCAATGATTACAAATGACAGGCAAATTCAACGTCACAGCTGCCGTCCCCTAGAAAAGGAGAGGGTGTTACAATACTGTATTTTATGTAGGTAGAGAATCACTCTCTGAAATGCGGTAAGAAAAATGTCAAGGACCAGTCAAAAGAAATGCACAAGGAATCAACTAGCAGAATGAACGAATAGGGGCCTTGAACCATTACTTCTGCATCTGCAGTGAGTCACTGTTACTGTATTTTCCTTTTACATAAATGTGTCCAATGCAAAGAATTTCTGCTAATTCCATTAAAGGGTTACAAATGGTGCCGAATGCTTTTGTTCTAATCTTCTAAGCCTCTCACATTTACACCGCTTGAAATGTCATTTACAGAAGTTTATTTAAATGTTATTATAGCCAGTGGTGGGCTTTCTTTGTTCTTAAATATTGTGCAAGAGAATATAGAGGTGAAATAATGTAGTGATTAAGTATTTTGCGGTCATCAATAACAAAGCTGTAAATAAACACTCTATGCTATTGAGCGTTGCCATAGGAACAAAAAATTTGAGACTAGGGATGTGGACCGCTTTGAGAAGTAGTTTAGCATTTCTTCAAGGACGTGAAAGCAACATTTAAATTGCTGTTTACATATACACAACATTAACATGTAAAATGTATTTGTTATTCTAAAACTTGAAAAAAAAAAATAATTTTTACAAATTTTATTAGCAATGTTTCAGTCATTTGGCTTTAATCATGCCTTCTATTTTCTATTTAAACAATTTTCTATCAAAATAATATATATATATATATATATACTATATATATAGTTAATTTTCTTACACATAATCTTACACATTATCATACATTTTACTGAAGTCTAGCCTCAAGCTTATAACTGACTGGTCTGTGATTTTTTTAACACTAATGTGAAGTGCAGCTTTGGCTTTTCCACTGTAGACAAGTGTAATGTTTTTAGTCATGTAATCATTAAGAGAATTGTGTACAGTGGAGCTCTGATACAAGAAAGATGCGACAGGACTTACATGCAAAGATTGTTTACAGTGCATGTGCATGCTTGAGTTTGTTTATCTGCTTGGATGAGAATCAGAAATCTTGAGCACGGGAAACCCTCACTATTTATTACTCTTGAAAGCACAATTGGGAACAGGTCAAAAGCAGGAGGTAAGATGCATTTCATAACACTCTCAACACATAATAGCAGAGAGTCAAGGTTTTACAGACCCTGTTAGTCCTTGCTGGGAGATACCGTCACTACAAACTTATCACAAGCATTTTTTCAATTGATATCCACTTAAATTTAAATTCACTTTAAATTTATCCACTGCGAAACCTGAAAAAATACTGTACATTTTTTAACAGTTGTTTCTTCAAAAACAGAAAAAATGGACCAATCTGCTTCCTTTCATGCCACAGCATAGTTTCCAGTGAAGGATCGGGGACGGTGATCTCCTGATGTCCTTTTCTTCCAACTCCAATGTAATTAGTCACTCACGAGCAAAGAGGGCAGATTTCAAACCACATACTTCTGTGGAGTCCTGCATCAGTTGATCAACTACAGTTGAGTACATAAGTTCCATATGAAATTATGAATGATTTACAGACATTCCATGAAACTTTTTTTTTCTGTTTTATTGGAAAAAACATTATAATGAAATGATTAAAAAAAACTATTGTACATAATATGTTGGAAATCAAAATCACTTCATGACATTTAGACCACACATTCAGCTCAGAAAAACCTTGAAACTGATACTCTTGTTACATAATGAACTGGGGGTGTCTCTTCACAGGGTCTTCAAACATCGTCCCTATGGGAATGGAGACTTCTCTCTGTAACAGGCTGCTCTGGACTTCTGGAGAGGAGAACTCACTCGCCGTGTCTAGAGAGAGAATTTCACATGGTTGAAATGGGTCCATTTGGCACTACAGCAAAGCACAGGTTAAATCGAGCATAAAGAGATAATCAAACTAAAACGAGTGTTACAAAACAGCTGAGGTACTGATCTCTCTCCTGAATGGACTTTTACTGCATAATCATTATGAAGAATAATGCAGACTGTAAAAACTCTTTTACACTTTAAGTTGCATGTCACGACACATTACATTACAACTGCATAAATATTTTCCCCTATGGAAGCCTTTTTATTATCCTTTTTAAAACAGACACATGTAGGGAAAAACAACAGCACTAAGACTACTGATGATTAAATAACTAAATTCATTTTTTGAGCAGCAGCATGGTGCCCATAGAGATGGTGAAGCCTGCAAAAAAAAAAATGCAATAGACTAAAGCCATTTCCTCTCCAGATCTCACACTCAGACAATCATTCACTGAGCCCCTCGTTAATTTAGCAAGTTTGTCTTCAATTTGTGTTTAGGTTCATCTTGTTTTGCTGTGAAGCGTGTCCTCGTAATACACATCAAAATACAACACCCACGCTACAACTTTTTGTATTTCTATCTAAAATCAGTCAGACATTTCTCTCCATTTCTCTGTCTGCTTGACTGCTTGAAACAGAGAAAATTACATTATTCTGCTTAAGAAAATTAACACCATGAGTAAACTCTTTGCAGTTCAATATGTATATTATGTATATATGTATATTAATTTTAGAATATATCTTGTACACAGCCCTGTTAACACAAAAAAGTACCTGCTTAAAATTTAGATACTTATGAAGTAACATCATTTGAACACTACAACATGGCAGAAAAGTGAATAATATAAAATTTCCAATTTTTACACAAACTGTAGTGCTGACTGCATTCATTAAGCTCAGCCATGTTACCCAAGTAAAGAAAAAAAAAAACATTAAAACCTTAACTCCAAAATATTCTTTTGGTTTTACATGCATTGCGTGCTTGGCAAGTGTTAATTCACATCACAGACTGCTATTGCCGTAGGGCCTAATAGTCAGAAGCTCCTTCTGAGTCTGCAGACAAATGCCCTTTCACAAACAAAATCATGGATGAAGTCCAATTTCACAGTGTGACCAGTATTTCTAAGGACTGTAATTCCTCTGCTTTTCAAGGACATGCTTTTATCATTTAGAGGGACTCGTCTGCATTCGTTTTCAAGTTGGTATGTGGAGTGTCTCAGTTACTGGAAATGCAGTTTTTTGCCCATTTCTCTTTGTCCTTTCTGGTTAGTATCATGTCTTGTCTGCACAATATCCTATTCTTTTCCATAAGATCAGATCATCTTAGATAACACATACTTTGAAAACTCAGAAACACTATTCTTTTTTTCCTATAACAGAACAAAGGAATTTTAAGGGGCACTTTAGAACTGAAATCCAAATGTTGAGTAAAAGTGAAAACCAAAACATACTTGAATCCACAATTTATCCAAACAGAATTTCCTCCTTTAGCCAGAAATGATTTAATGCTGAAACTAGTTCAAAGTGAAATACAAACAATGTGTAACAAATACTAGCACAAAAAAAAAAAAAAAAAAAATTCCACTATCTTCAACAGGGGTCTGCAGCGATATTGCAAGGGGGCTCATCAATTATCGCTTTATTTTAACTCATTTTTTGGAGAAAAAAAACGGGTTAAATACATCTCCTTGTCCCTTCCACATTAAAATTACAAAAACATTACATTGTTACATACACACAAGTGTATAATATAAATTCTCATTTTAACAGCTGTGAAATTTAAGTATGTAAATAATGAAACAAGCTAATTATTTAATCAATGTGTTATTGGCCTTATGGCCTTACGAAGGATTATGCATGCTGCATTATAAAGATTTAAAAAGGTAGTCAAATGTAAGAGCTGATAGCCATGTGGCCACCTGATCAGAGTTTGCATCCCAGCTCCAGTTCCCCTACTACTCAACATACTCAAATATATAATCTAAATGATAAATTGGAATAGGTGCAAAGGTGAGGCAATCATCCAGAGATGATGGCTACTGACTGAATTCAAACTGTGAAAGAGATGTCTTTTCTGGCAGATCATCCAGTGCTTAATGACAGATGAAGCAAACATATCACGACCACGGGCTTCTGTAAGTGTCTAAGAGGCCTGAAACAGATGTTTTCATTATACTAGCTAAAGACGCCAGAAGGCAACCCTCAGGATAAGCTTAACAAATCAGCAGAGAACGCTGGAAATGCATTGGTTTCTTTGCAGGTTCTGGCTTATGATTCTGGATTACTAGCAAGACATTTGCAATGGCTTATCCAAACATCCAACGATCCTAATATTTTTCAGAGCAGCTCTTAACAAATGGAACAAATTGATTCGCCTCATCTGAAATGGAGGAGCTTTAAGATGGCTTCATAGCTTGAATACAATCCAATGCGTGACAAGGACCTTCACTGTCAAAAGGAACTGCAAATACGGACAGATTTCATATCAATGTATACAGTGGGTACGGAAAGTATTCAGACCCCCTTCAATTTTTCACTCTTTATTGCAGCCACTGCTCTTCAGGGAAGTGTTACTCTGTAAGAGACAGAAACAGTCTCTCAAATAATAAGGGTGTATGCTGCATATGTCCACATTGAAGATTACAAAGTGCAATGTTGGTTGTAAGTGAATGATGTGAAAAGTGATGGTACAAGGTCGCATGTTGTACAAGACCATTTGGGTGTGCTTTACATGTTGAGATCTAAAGCGCAGGCAAGTTAATAAATGTGCATTAAAAATGTAATTTATTCCTATGATGGCAAAGTCTTTACTGTAGCGTTTGATCAATTTAAAGGTGGGGTATGTATTTTTTCAAAAACTCTTTAGAAAACGGAGTCGGGCCGAAGACCAAAACAAACTTGTAGCCAATCAGCAGTAAGGGGCGCGTCTACTCATGATGGGGAAGAGAGAGCGCTCAGTGCACCGGACGGACATTAGCCGAGCCGAGTGACGACAGAAGGATTTATTAAAAGACGGCTTACGATAAGGCAAGAAGTAGGACCCGTGCAAATATCAGATCAGCTTTCCAGCGCTGGAGAGATCTCAAGGAGCGGGAAGGCCTGCGATCGGACGCCAAGGTTGCTTTGTTTCTTCTCGATAGGTGAGTAACATTGGTTTTGCTTTGTTTCACCTCGATAGGTGAGTAACACCGTGTCTACACCGGACGCGCCGCACAGCAACAGCTAAAGTCTGTCTACACTGGACGCGACAAAGTGACCGTTGAAAATCATTTGAAATTTGTGTCAATACGTCATAAATAGAACCCAGCAGCAGTTTTCTGTCAGGGATTTGTCGTGCCCCGCCGTGCCGCATCCAGTGTAGACAGTATCACTGATTATAATGAGTTCTACAGTATTTTGTCACGCCGCGCCGCTCGCGTCCGGTGTAGACATGGTGTAACATTGGTTTTGGTTTGTTTCACAGAACTAATTGTTGCCTGGGTTGCGTACGTATGTGTTGGGCGGAGCTATCAAAATAGGGGCGAGTCCCTTTTGGGGTAGGGGCGTGTTTGTTTCGGTGATTTGAAATATCAACATTGGCTACTAGAAATCACTTACCTCACCTTTAATGCATCCTTGCAGATAAAAGTAAAAAAAAAAAACTTGAGTCAAGGTTATGGAAGCCTGTTTCCACCACTGAATTAAAAATAAAAAAAATTAATTGCGAGTTTATATCTCGCAATTCTGACTTCATAACTTGCAATTGTGAGTTTATATCATGCAATTCTGAGGGAAAAAAGTCAGAATTGCAAGTTTATATCTCGCAATTCTGAGAAACCTGCAATTGCAAGAAAAAAGTCAGAACTGTGACAAAAAGTTGCAATTACCATTTATTTATTTATTTTTTTTATGGTGGAAACGGGCTTCCATAGATGGTGCCAATACATGATTATGATACTAAATGCATATTATGGCTTAATAAAGGCCAGGCTTAAAATGCAACACAATATGGTTCCTGCTCCAATTTCTCTACCCACCAAGGGGGGTCCTTGGCCTGAAAAAAGGTCGAAGACCCCTGAGCTATGGAAATTGGCTCAGCTGCACGTTGAGAGGAGAATATGTGTGGGATTTGGTGCTACTCAAATAAACCAGTACTGTTTTCCTTCCACATGCTTCCTCCCTTCTTTATGCCTTTGAAAAGAGATTTATTGTATAACAATTAAGCAGGAGCTGAAGGCCTGCAGATAAGCCTTCTAAGAGCCATAGATTAATATTTTATTCATAGGAAATATTTGATCCATATGCTTAATGAGAAAAACACAAAAAAATCAGCCCTTTCAGTCCCCTGGTTCATAAATCACACAAAGCGCTGGAGAAACAGTGAGTGACACTGAGCGCATGCTTATGGCTCCCAAAGCAGCCAGTTCAAAAGGAGAACGAATGACATCGCCTGGGACACAAAGGCAGCCGTATGTCTTGATGAAGGTTTAACCAAACAGAGATTGAGTGGAGGGATTTTTGTATTTCATAAACAATGAGGAGGGCGTTAAAAGGCTGATCTATTCTGGAAATGCATAACATTTTTGAACATTCCTGTGTTTGGGAACAGGCTGTAAGAAACAGCTATGAGATAACATTTCACTTCTGAGAGAAAATTGAAACAGCTGAGACCTTGATGCGCAAGTCTTTCATACTAGCTTCAAAGTTTAAGCTAGATTCTTACATTTTGAAGGAAGGAAAAATAGGTTATTTAATAGGTAAGAATATGCTACAGGTTATAATTTATAAATTCTGACTAAGGATCATTAAGTTACATAGATATGTATTAGCTAATTAAACCATTTTGACATTTCCCATTTGTATCAGTGTCAAAATCTACCTTAACACCCTGAGAAATTTTCTGTCGCCAATATTTTCGGTAAACAGCAAGTAATTAATTAATGCTATCTGAATAACTACATTCAACATTCATAAACATGCATAGGTCAACTGTTTATTCGGTCCAAATCTGAAAACCATAT